AGGGGTCCGTGGAAGGGGATGATTGACATAGAGGGCTCGCGGACGATCATCTATATGGCGCCCTCCACGGAGGTGAGGGACTGGCTCATACATGAACGGAAGGTGGAGTCTATATTGGTGGGAGATGTTGGTCATGAAGTACAACTGGTCCCATGGCGAACGCCTGCAGAAATAGAGTTTCAGCGGGAGGAGGAGAAACGACAGCGGCCATGGGTCAAAGTGTTCAGCCCCCCCTCCTTTTTGGTCCCTCTCGAAGAACAGATGGTGCAACAACTTTTTGGCGAGATTGTATCTACAGCCCTCTTCTGTGAAGAAGAAAGGGAATATCGGAGGTATGTGGTTAGGGGCCCACTGAAGATGCGCCAGGTTGAGAGGGTAGCTGTGGCTTTTAGGCCTACGACTACGCAGGAGTTTTGCTTTATTACGAGCGAAACTTCATTTTCCGACGTCTGTTTTACGCATGGGCATTTGGGACGGGAAGGCCGATGCCTTTCCAGGGCGGAATCAGCCAGGGAGCTGCAGGAGAAGGAGATACGCCGGCGAATGGACCCCATTTTAGCGTCGAACGTGGAAGAGGAAAGGCGAGACTGGAGGGAGATCGAGCAGCGATACGATGCGGTGGTGCTGAAGGAGTTGCAGGCGGCGCACTGGCGCTTGGGGGGCCCCGAAGTAGCAAAGGGCTATTGCAGGCGACAGGACTCGAAACCCCGTGGTCGACATACCCGGCCGCCCAGGGGGACGGGCGGAGGAAGGCACAGGGACCCCCCAGTGGAGGTGCATGACCGCATGGAGATTGACCCCCCTGTGTGGCTCTTTGGTGATACGCACCGGAAACGTAAGGAGTGCCAGGAGGACACTACCAAGGGGGCCGGGGTTGAGGTGGGGATTGAGAAGCGGTAGTGTGGTCCTAGCATGCAGCCGGCTTTGGCAACTCCGAGGGCTGCGGCCACGGATGCGCGGGTTGACGACCACGTGCAACCGGCTGAAGTAGGGAATGGGCGGGGGGGGGGGGAGACGACCTGGTCGATAAAGAGGTCATTGTCCAAGAGCGAGGCTCACGAGTTGAAGGCTCCAACGAGCCATTGATCCCGGTCAATGCACAGGTACAGGGGATGGAGGGTAAGGTGGAGGGAACTGAGCAACAACGGGTGACCAAGGCGGCAACCCCTGTGGAACAGGAGTGTAGGGCCCACGAAAAGGGGGCTGCGGGGCCCCACGGGCAGCCGACCCCGACTGACGCCCAAGTATAGGGGATGGGGAGTAAGGTGGCGGGGACTGAACAGCAACAGGGGGACAAAGGGACACCTCCTGTGGCGCAGGAGCGACGGGTGCATCCACCAGGGATGGGGCGTGAAGAGGAGGGGGCTGCGAAGCACACATCGGTTACCCCCCCGGAGGAGCGGGGACGGTGGGCGGGCGTAGTAAAGGAAAAGGTAAACTCTGAAGTGGAGTGTCGCCGGGAAGGGAAAGCGTGCGTGCCCGAACTCGATAGGGAGTGGGGGCGGGGGGAGACGAGTGGAGGACGGGCGGATGAGGCCCAGTCGCCGTCCCCCCCCTCGGAGGAGGAAGCAGGTAAGGTGGAGATATTGGAGGGGAAGGGGGAAGACAGTCAGGGCAGACTCGATGGGCAGGCACTTCGGAGTTCGGGGGGGGAGACAGGGCAAACCAAGGAGGTGCTGAGTGAGCTTGGGGGGGAACGTAAGCAGAAGGGGCAGGTGGGGCTGGATGAGATCAGTCCAGGGAAAGTGTCGGAGGACATTAATGAGGCCAATGGATGGTCGAATGATGTGGAGGTAGTGGAATCTTCGGGAAGGTTGGATGAAGGGGGAGGGGGGGGGAACAGAAAGGAAAGCACGCCAGGGGGGAAGGTCGGGGAGAGTGAGGTGCTCCCAGGGGGAGGGCAAGCATGGGGAGAAGACAAGCAAGTGATGCTCGACTGTGTGCGGGCCAGCACATTAGACAGGAAGGTCGGGGAGGAGGAGACGGCGGGGGGGAACAGCAAGGAACGCACGCCAGGAGGAAAGGTCCGGGAGAGCGAGGCGCTTCAAGGGGGAGGGCAGAAACGGGGAAGGACGGGAGAGAGTGGTGGGAAGGAGGAGGTGGGTGGGGGGGGAAGGGGGGAAAAGGATGGGTCGGGGGATGGATCGGGAAGTGGAGAACCACCTCTCGGGCAGCAGCAGGAATGCTGGCTCCTTGTCCCTTATGGTCGCACAGAAACGGGTGCAGAGTCAACGAATGTGCATATCCCGGTCCCGGGGGGCGCGAAAGAAGGCGAATCGGACGACGTGGAGGTGGTGGACCTCGCAGCTAGCCTGTCGGCCCTTTCCCCTCCCCCCCCCTCTCCTCCCCCCTCCCACAAAAGTGAGCCCACTACTGTGACATCGGACAGTGGGTCGGTGGGCATGCCGAGACGTCGGCGGAAGCAGCTGACCTCGGGTCCGCCCATATCGAGCCCCGCGGAGGTGGGAAGTTCCTTACAGCAAGCAACAGGGGCGATCCAGTCCGATCGAGAAGAGGAGCGATGCGAGCTGCAGGCACGGGTGGACGCAAAGCTGAAGAGCCGGGATCGGTCCCGCTCCCCGGCTGGTCGCAAGGTGCAGCCGCTTAAAGACGAGGACCGATGGGTGTCCCCGCAGCGAAGACGCATTGAAGAAGAGGAGTTGCAGAATAAGGTGGCCGAGGAGGGGCTGGCGAAAGGCATGGAGGACGTGCAACCCCGCCAGCCTGCCCCGGATTTGGATGAGCCCATGACAGGGGATGGAGGCGGGGACTCGACGGATGACAGGGGCGGAGCGATGGATGAGGACATGGATATCAACGAGGGGATGGAAGCAGATATGGATATTCATACAACGGTGAAGGGGTCGCTACAGGAAATATTGGCAGCCGGGGAGTGTTATGTCTTCCCGGTGATGCTGTGGTGGGCGGAGCAAGGCATTAAGGTGGTCACGAAAGGCAGTACGGAATTCTTCGTTTATGCGGCGCGCTCCCTCCCCAAGAACCCGAATATTACCAGACAGGTCAGTCGTTGGGTAGATCCTAACTACAGAGTGAAGGTGCTTCCCAAAGTCTCGGTGGGACGCTTTTTCAGACAACTGCGAGGGGGGACGGAGTACGGGCTTTTGGTCTGTTTTACGTCCATCACCCCCCGGCGAGCGGGCTCTTTGACCTTGGCTCACAAGGATGCCACTTGGACGAAGATGGATCAGGTCTTTGGCCCCCGTGCCAGCCCGACTGACTATCGGATCGTCAACGAGTTTACGGCGGGGATATTGGCCAAAGTCAATTCTATGTTGCCTACGAACCAGCGTCTGGGATCGGGGAATGGAGGATAGGATGTAGCAGGGTTAGACTTAGGTGCGCTGTGTTAATTATGAGTGCCTCTGGGTGAGTGCACTCCCTCCTCTAGAGTAGAATAGCTAGTGCTGCRAATCTTGTAGTTTTTTCGGCTGTATTMTTGTTTGTTTTGTTTGCTAACTRGCTTGTTTGCTTGCTTGTCTGTGTGTTGTTTGCGTTTTGACTACATTTTGCTTGTCTGTGTGTTGCTTGGTTTGTTGTTTACACTCTGGTCYTTCTTCCTCCACCCGTCCRGTTGGGGCTGCCGGGATGGATCGAAGAAACCRRTTAACTAAGCTCAAGYTGTTAACTTGGAACGTGAAGGGCTTGTCGACTCGGTCTCTAAATCCGAAGCGATGGGAGCTGCAGCGTACTGCCCGCAAACACCAGATCGACGTTCTCTGCCTCCAGGAGACTAAGTTGGGGGAAGGGCTCTGTTTGCACGACGCCCCCTGGTGGAAGGGACCTCAGGTCTAGGCCCCTGCGCAAGGAGCAACTGATAGAGGAACGCAAGGGGGCGTGGCACCAATCATAGCAGGTGCATCAGTCCTCATAATGAATCTCCTTCCAAGTACATAGTGCCTGAAGCACCTGAGGCAGTAGATGATTGCTAGTAACTCTTTCTTGAATTGAATGTAACCTTTTTTTGTTGAATTAAGAGTTCTACTCCCAAATCTTAAAGGTCTCTCTTTCCAATTCTCATCTCTCTGAATAAGTACACCACCAAGAGTTAATAGTCCTTCATATGCCTAGATGATGAAGGGTCTTCCCTCTTCATCATCTTAGAAAGGCACCCCTAACACTACACCTCCATCTTTTAATTTTTCTTGTAAAGTTTTTGAGGCAATCTGTCTTTTCTCTGTCTATGATAAGTCAGTCTCATGCCTTATCATCTCTCTTAGAGGCTCTGTAAGGGTAGCAAAATGACGAATAAAAATCCTCTCGAATCTGCAAACACCCAAGAAGCTTTCGACATGTCGCTCGCTTGAGAGGCAACGGTCAGTTCAAAATTTCATCTATTTTCTTGGGGTCAGGACTATTACCCTTGGAAAACATATAAAGCTCAAAATAATTACCTCTGCTTAAAAGAGAAGGGACTTTGCCTCATTGACAGTCATATTATATTTGTGAAGTCTCTCTAAGACCATCTTTACCCCTTCAACATGCTCCCAAATAAACTTCTTGACTCCATCAGCAACCACAATCTCATATCTTACCATGGGTCATTTCACAGGGTTATCATCATCAATATAGGGGCTGGTTATCTCAGGGGAAATATCTTACATGACTTGGATCATATCCCTTTGAACCACTGCCACACCATTGATCCAACCTTGAAGTATGACGCACATCTGAATAAGTCCTCTCGGCGTGTGCATGAAAGTTATCGGTCGGCTAGTGGGATCAATGAGAAACTGATCATAGCCAGAATATAAATCAATCAAAGAATAAATGCATCGACCAGCAAAGGATTCAAAAAGGAGATCAACATTAAGAAGAGAGAGAAGGTTAACAACAGTTGTATTTTTCATCACCACTTCAGGACACCATTCACCACTTCAGGATGCAGTCTGCCTAAACATGTGGTTTTCAAGGTCTTTGGACCTTTCACCACTTCAGGACCATTCAGGTCAGAAAATCCTGAATGGACCTGAAGTGGTGAAAGCTCCGAAGACCTTGAAAACCACCCGTTTAGGCAGGCTGCATCCTCAAGTTGTGAAGGATGGTTTTCATGGTCTTCGGACCTTTTACCACTTCAGAACCATTCAGGATTTTCAAACTACCAAAAACTCTCACTTTACCACTTTAGGACACCCTTCACCACTTCAGGATGCAGCCTGCCGAAACAGGTGGTTTTCAGGGTCTTCGGACCTTTCACCATTTCAGGACCATTCAGGATTTTCAGACTACCCAAAATTCTCATTTCAAAATTTTCATTCCTGAATTTTCAGCTACCCGATAACTGCTTGTGTAAGAAGACTACCTGCATCACGTAACGTTACTTCGTTGAGTTTCTGAAAATTTTGTATCCATCTTAGTCCACCCCCTGGTTTCCAAAAGCAAAACCAGTGGTTAACATACGGTCCATTACCAAGTTCAACAACATTATAGACAATTTTTTTATCAAGACATTTTACCAACTCTGCTTCTTCTTTCAGGGCATACTTAGTTCGTTTGTCATTCCATGAAATATGATCAACTGTCCATATTTTTTCATCTTGATCATATCCACATCCAATCGCCCTCTTTCTTCCTCATTAATGGAGAATGCACCAGAGAACTCCTGATACACTTTGAAAATATATTCCTTCTCTTTAGGCTTGATGATTTAGTCCGAGCCTATCTTCATTGTGTCACACCTTTCTCTAGTGACTTTATTCCCCAGTTTTGCAGATTTCCTTAATGTTTTAATAATTCCTGCGTTGCCACTTGTACGCACCTTCGTACGAGTACGGATTCGTACTCTTGTACTCGTACGCTGCTCGTACGCTAGGGGCCCCCCGTACACGTTTTTTTTTTTTTTTTTTTTTTATAATCCGGTAGTGTTTTTATTTTTTTTCTCAAATTCTAGTAAGAATCTGAAGATGATGATCGATCAAATGTTGCTTCTTTTGTGCTGTTGCATCACATATTATTTTTTTCGGAATTTTTTGATGACCTTTTTTTTTTTTTTTTTTTTTTTTTTTTGCTTTTTCGTACGTGGGCGTACAAGACGTACAGGTTTCCATATAGGTTCCCGTACAGATCCTGTACAGATATTACCTGTACGTTTCGTAGGGAAAGACCCCGTACGTGTACTCTATGCAACGTAGAATAATTCTCCTTTCTTTTTTGGACTTGTACTTTCTCTTTGACCCAATGAATATTTTTCTTAAAAAACGATGAGTTGATGCAAACTTTAATTTCATTTTCTCACTCTTAGCAGTCTCAACAGCCTTTTGAATGCTTTAATCTGTCCATCTTCATCTTTGAGTTTGCCAATAATTTTCATAATCTTCAAAATTTGATTAATATCCATTAAGACTTCCGCTTTGTCCTTTTGTTTGTCAACAAAATTTTCCCTTCTGATTGAGTTGGATGATAAATGATGTTTATGATTGTGATTGGTACAACTCATAAAGGTATGCTCCTGGGCAGTTTCGGGGTCTTGTAGACCAAATCAGGATGACCCTTAATGACTGAAGAATTGGTCATCTTTCATTCTATGCCAGAATGGAGTGTCCAGAATACAGTCATGATCTAAGTCTGACACCACGAACCCAGTAGCTCGACAGACATCGTTCCAACTTTGATAGACAAATTTTCAATAAAATCTACCACGAAGAGTTATCCAAGAATATTGCTTAATATATGCTTTGAGGGTCTGTCAATAGTTAAATCACAAACCTTCATAGTCCTTTGAGAAAAAAGAACCATCTCTGCCCCATAGTCTACAAAAACTTGGATTTTTAGTTGATTAATATAAATAATTAAATGTCCACAACCGATGGTTGCGAATCTCATCTTACAACCTGACAGTGATCTGTTCACCTGTCTGGGAAAGACTAATCTCAAATAGTTAACCTCCATCTTTTTCTTTTCAATCAATTTCTTTAGCTCTTCCCTCAACTTAGGTGCCAGAGTCATTGCTTCTTTGAATGATAGAGTCACTCTCGTTTCCTTCAATGTTTTTGTGATTATATCAGTGATTACTGTTTCATCTTTCAGTTCACTCTTGAGGATGAACTTTCTCTTCTTCCCCTGTTCATTTTTTCTCTCTTCGACCTTCTTTCTATTTTTTTCCTCTATCGTTTGAGATGTTAAGTATGTTTGGAGATTTCTAACCTCTCTAATTACTATATCGGGCTCCTTGACGAGCTTTGGTGGTAGATCACCCTCAAACGACATTACGTTAATCGAACAAGCAGTTCTATTGAAATAAGATACTACTAACTCAGAGGAAGTCTGGAAAGCAAAATTTTCTTCTAATGGAGACTCGATTCGGGAAACCTCGTCAGACAAATCTTCCATCAATGTAAGGGATTGAGAGGCAACTCAATCATGGTGAAAGAATCATCAAATTTTTCCACAAGTTCCTCAGGCAGTTCGCCAATAAGAAAATGAACATTTATATTAGTTGTTTTTTTTTTTTTTTTCTTCACCTTTTCTTCATGTTTAAGGGCAAAAAGTCTCATACCTCCAGGATGCTTGGGATCCAATTTGTTCTATGAACTATCACATACGTGACCCATTACATTCTTATTTGCCACCCCACTCCTCACATCCTACCCCAAAGGTTTACAATGGGTGGTGGTATGACCTCCCTCATCGCAATAGTAGCAGACAAAACTCTTCCTCGGACAATCATTACACTTCCTCCTTTCTCTGTTTTATTTTCCACCATTCCCTCAATTTCTGCTAGATCTAGAGGAATCTCCTCTTTTATCATAATCATCATCGTCATCATCATCATCATCATCCTTTTCATCCTCACTTTCAACCTTCTTCTTCCCTTTCTGATCCACAACATGATTAACAGGCATATAATTAGCCATAACCCGTTGAATAATATTTTCAGTACTCAGATTACTTCCTCTGTTCATACCATTCTCTGTCTCCCAGTCTTTAGTCAGTGTACTGATCTGATCCATCGACCACTTCTTATGTGAAAGCGTAGGTTGAGCTCTGACGATTGCAACCATTTCATCTCATCTGAGAGGGTAGTGTTGAGCTTGATTGAGAACAGTATTTCATCCCATCTGAGAGGGTAGTGTTGAGCTTAATTGAGAACAATCTGTCTCTCATTGTCAGTGAAGTTAGTCAGAAACATATGACATCTTCGAACCTCATCCGAATATGAAATTCTCCTTGCTGTTCTGATAAACGTTTGGAGGAAAACATTGAAAGTGTCATACTTAACTTTTCTAATGTTGAAGAGATCCTTGATAGTAAGTGAAACATAATATTTCTTAAACTCTCTTTTGAAATTCATTATTTCCTCGATTTCTTCCTATGTCGTGACCCCATCCATTAACTCTTAAATAGCCAACCTTGAGTCAGTGTCACAGTATGATAGAAGGTATTTAAGTCGTTGTTTGTCTGTCCAACCATGACTGGGTCTAAATGACTCATATTCATAAAAACAATCGTTTACTTGGGGCCCTCTGAAGCATGAAATTCTCTCATCTGGTCTCTTTGTGATTGCAATATCTGACCCTCATTTTATTGTGTCAATTCTTTCGACCAGTTCCCGTATAGCACCGATCAGGGTCTCTTCATGAGTCCCTGCGGAAGAGCTAGGCCTCCCTCGTCCAACCATTTTAACTATAAATTTTCCCTAATGTTCTCTTCTCTCTCTTCTTGTCACTCTTGATCTCTTCTTCCACTCTTAATCCCTTACTCTTCACGCAAAAGATACATGCTCATCTCTCTTCTTTCTTGTTTGTTCTTCCCCTCAAGAATTCTTTACACAGAGAGTGTAAGCAATAATAGACTGAGTGGTGATCAAGGGCAACGCAATTCTTCTCAGCCTTCCAATATAATCCTTAATCAGCTCCTTCTCATCGTCCCTGCTCAGTCTTCTGTTATATTTTT